CTCCTCCTCCTCCTCCTCCTCCTTCTCTTCCTCTTCCTCCTGATCCCTGGTCTAACGTTCTGTGGTTCTGCGGACGCTCAGTGCCAAAGAGAAAGTGCCCAGACGGATAGACTATTCCTGAACAGAGAAGCTCTGGATGTGTTGAAGTAGTCTTTGAGCTGGTTGGGAGTGATGGGAAGGGTAGTCCAGCCCATTTTAGGTCGGAGAAAGTGGGGGGGGGGATTTGAGCGAGAAGGACTTCCAGTGAAACGAGTTTCTGTCCCGGAGCTGATGGTCATTCGAGACCATCTGTTCTCTTAACGGAGAAAGGACCGGCGTTTTGAGAGCTAACCTGCGTGTCCCTGACTGGCCCTGAACATGGAGGCTCCGTTTATGAAAACGTCTCCTAGCCAAGAGCGACCCGCTGACTTCCCTGGTTCTCGTGGAAGGGAGTTCCACAGCGCAATCCCCTGCCGTTTGGATCGCTGTGCCTCCGCGTCTCTCTCTCTCTCTCTCCCAAAATTGGGGGGAGAAGGACAAGGCTCTCCCCCTAACCCCCTTGCTCGGTCTCGCAGGCTCCTCGTAGCCCCCCCCCCACCCGAAACATTCACCAGCACGCGTGTGCAGATCCTGCCCCCTCCCGCCCCCAGGACCTCTACTCACAAAACATTCTCGAGGGAGCGAGGTCGGATGAAAATGGCGATGGGATGAAGCTGAGCGGCTTGAAGCCTCCGGACGGCGTTGGCGGATACGTCCAAAATGCAGTGCTTGCCCTGGGAGAGCGGAGGGGAAAGGGGACGATGGGCTCAGGAACACACAAAGACACACCCGCCAGAGAGAGTAGATATGTGTTTGTTTGTGATGGTCTACATGGAGATGTCTCAAACAGTTGGGAGGTGGGAAGTGAGCTCCCGATGATGGGACACGATTTGGGGGGGGACCTTAAAAAGCCTCCCTTAATTTTGGAATCTCCTTCTCATTCTTTCTTTCTTCCTCTTTCTCCTTCTTTCTCTCTCCCCCCTCTCTTTTTCTCTTTCCTTCTCTCTCCCTCCCCATCTTTCCCTCCTTCCCTCTCTGTCCCCCTCTCTTTTTCTCTTCCCCTCTCTCATTCTCTATCTCTCTCCCTCACTCTCTTTTTCTCATGCTTTCTATCTGCTTCTCCCTCCCTCGTCTTTCTCTTTCTTTCCCTCTCTCCCTCCATCTCTCTGCCTCTCTTTATCTCTCTCTCCTTCTCTCCCATCTCTTTGTCTCCCTCATTCTCTCTCTCTCCTTCCCACTCTCTTTTTCTATCTCCTTCTCTCTGCCCCATCTCTTTCTCTCCCTTTCTCTCCCTTTCACTCTCCTTCTCTCTCTCCTTTCCTCTCTGTCTCTCTCACTCTTTTTCTCTCTCTTTCTATCTCCCTGTCTCTTTCTCTCCCTCTCTCATTCTTTCTCTCTTCTTCCCTCCCTCTGCTCCCCTCTTCCCCTCTCTCTTTTTTTCTCTCCTCTCTTCCTTTCCGTTTCTCTTTCTCTCCCTCTCTTCCTCTTTCTTTCTTAGCAATAGCAATAGCAGTTAGACTTATATACCGCTTCATAGGGCTTTCAGCCCTCTCTAAGCGGTTTACAGAGTCAGCATATCGCCCC